TTTACCAGGAAGAGAGAGAGACTTTGCGTATCTCCAGTACCTCCATCTTGGCTACCGCTAAAGAGAATTTACCCAAAAAACATCTACGCCAGGGGTGCCCAAAAGGAAGATCCCCAGACATTGTACAACTACAACTCCCACAATGTTTTGCACGTCTTTGGACTACCTTTAGAATGACAAAGCATCGTGGGAGTTGTAGTTGTAGAACACCTGGGGAATCTCCCTTTTGGGCACCCCTGATCTATGCCATCTGATGCTTTTATTCTGGATACCAGTGTGCACTGCAGTAGCTGTATAGCAGCTACTAATTGCGACACATTGAAATTAATGTCATGGGGTTGGAGGAGTTAAGGCAGAAAATAAAAAAGTGTTCTCATGTTTATTGAGCTAAGAAGAATGCATAAAAAAGTACCCGGAGTGTCCCTATAATACACACTGTGTTTATGAGATCGTAATCGTTTTTTCAGGCTTGTGGAAAAAAATCGTAAAACTTTGACAAATGAATTCCCTTTATTGTTGTAGAGCAATGACATGACAATAGCATAGTTGAAGAATTTTTCAGAATCAGCTATTTTTTGTTTCCCCTAAATTTTGCAGTAAGGTTTTCAATTCACACCAATTCAATGTTTAGTAAATGAAGTTACATTTTCATAATTTTACTCTTCATCAATTGCTTTTCTCTACATCTTATACTTTTCACTGTATGTGTGATGGGTAATGACTGAAATTATGGAATCTAAAATTTAATATCAAGAAATTAAATAAAAATAATGAATGGTTGAAGAAAGTGTTACTATTTTAAAAGACTAAAAAGTTAGCAAATAGTGTATTGGAGGAGTAATTAATATCGGGAAAAGAAAAAGTGCTGATACCAGGTTATAGATAATGTTTTAGGACCTCACATAGATTAATGAGTTCATTTAATCTTCAGACATAATCACAGTAATTAAAAGTCAAAGAAAACCAGCTACGATACCTGCCTAATGATACTGGCCAAGAAATATTGGAAGCCCTAGAGCGGGATAGTTTCAATGAATGGATGGGGGAATATAACCATATTGAATGACTCAAAAATTGGGTTATTCAGCTAAATGAGAATTGTCAGGTATTTAGAGTGAATTTCAAATTTAGTTTGAAACAAAGTTTCAAATTTGAGGCCAAAACAGCCAAACTGGATACATTATCTAAGTGATCTATGCTTACAGATCGGCTACTTTGACCTTAAAATTTGAATTCCTGACAATTTTCACTTTCATGAATATTCTTGATTGAGTTTATTCATCGCCAGTAATAATAATAAGTAGCCCAAATATCTCCTATAATACGGTACCTCTGGTTTGAAAGGTTAACCAATTAGTATTCCTGTGCTGCCTGAGAGCACAGAGCTTCTGGACCTATAAAGTCTTTGGTGGATGCAGTGAGCAGCGCCCAAGGTACCCAGGTTATTGTTTTTGAAAGTACTGTCATAATATCAGAAAACTGTAGTGAGCTATCACAATACAGCCTAGTTTGCCAAAATGATTCATGATGATCCACTGATGCCATCTAGTGGTCACTTTGAAGAACAACAGTTCCAGCTTCCCGAAAGGTAGACTAAGGGAAGAGATTGTCTGTGAAAATTAACAGAATACTTTAAGGCAGGGGTGGGCAATCTTCGGCCCTCCAGATGTTTTGGACTACATCTCCCATAATGTTCTTAGGGCCACAATGCTAGCAAAGCATCAAGGGAGATGTAGTCCATAAGATCTGGAGCAGGGCCGCCATCAGGGGGTGACAACCATTATGGTTGTCATGGGCCCGGCCGGCGGCGGAACTGCCGCCGGTGCAGTTCCACCGGGGACCGCACGCTGATGGGGCCCATCGGGTGGCCCACGCACTTAGGGCCACCCAATGGGGCCCAGTCAGCACGGTGGCCATGGTATAGCGCGACCAGGCCCCTTTAACAAAAGTAAATACAATGCCGCCGCAGCGCAAGTGCTACTGGGAGGAAGTGGTCACTTCCTCCCAGCTCACTCCGCGAGCGAGGAGCGCCCGCCCGGCAGTGAAGAGGGAGAGCCAGCCGACTCCCAGTCCCATCAGCCCCAGCCACCTTCCTCCAAAGACAAGGTAAGAGACAGGAGGGTGGCTGGAAAATGAGCTGTGGGTGTATGTGAATGTATGTATGTCATTATGTTTGTATGCATAAATGTCAGTGTATATATGTCTGCATGTCATTATGAATGTGTGTATGTATGGATGTCAGTGTCTGTATGAATGTATGTATGCCAGTATAAATGTATGTCTGTATGAATGTCAGTGTATGTATGTCTGCATGTCATTATGAATGTGTGTATCTCTGTCTGTATGTATGTATGCCAGTATGAATGTGTGTCTGTATGTCCTTTTGCATGTGTGTCTGTATGTATGTTAGTATGTGTCTGTCACTATGTACGCCTGTGTGTCTGTATATGTGTGTATGTCTCAGTATGTGTGTGTCAGTATGTATGCCTGTATGTGTGTCTGTTAGTATGTATCAGCGTGTGTTTGCCCTTTTGTATCAGTGAATGTGTTTGTGTCTGTATTCCTGTGTGCGGGATTTGGAGGCGGTCTCTGTTTGCAGTTTTGGAGGCAGGCCCAGACCCTGAGCTCAGTTGGGGGCCCCAAAATTTCTGGTGGCGGCCCTGATCTGGAGGGCCGAAGATTGCCCACCCCTGCTGTAAGGGGTTGTTTAAGTATACTGACTATCTCCTCTAATCAAGCACGATCTCTATAATTTGTAAAGACCTACATATCACTATTTGCCTAAACCACCATGCATTTAAAGTAATACTATAGTGTCAGGAATACAAATGTATTTCTAACACTATAGTGTTAAATTAACTATTTAGCTCTCTACCCTTGGAATGTGCATAAAACTATCCATAAAGAGCTGAGATTTGTGCATGGGGGGGGTGCTATTTTTGTATTTTCCCCTTCAGTCAAAACTTAACAGCCTTCCTATCTATAAATGTGCAAAGCTTGTACAGAACAAACTTCCTAAGAGAAGAAAACACATATATATATTGCCAAGAATATTCCACACCGCTGCCTCCATCAATTTTTATAGGAAGATATGTTCCCGCTCACTGCCTCGAAGAGACAAGTAGGGTCACAGTCAAGAGATGTTAAACATTTATTTTTTTTACAATATTAGCTGTATTCAAGAGGAAAGCTTAACATAGAAACATAGAATGTGATGGCAGATCTGAACCATTCGGCCCATCTAGTCTGCCCAATTTTCTAAATACTTTCATTAGTCCCTGGCCTTATCTTATAGTTAGGATAGCCTTATGCCTATCCCACGCATGCTTAAACTCCTTTACTGTGTTAACCTCTACCACTTAGCTGCTCATATCTCCCCTGTCTCGTCTTTCCTCCAAGCTATACATGTTAAGATCCTTTAACCTTTCCTGGTAAGTTTTATCCTGCAATCCATGAACCAGTGTAGTAGCCCTTCTCTGAACTCTCTTTAAAGTCTCAAAATCCTTCGGAAACAATACTCCAAGTGAGTTCTCACCAGTGTTCTGTTCAATGGCATGAGCACTTCCCTCTTTCTACTGCTAATACCTCTCTCCCTATACAACCAAACATTATGCTAGCATTTCCTGCTGCTCTGTTACATTATCTGCCTACCTTTAAGTCATCAGAAATAATCACCCCTAAATCCCTTTCCTCAGATGTTGAGGTTAGGACTCTATCAAATATTCTGTACTCTGCCCTTGGGTTTTTACGTCCAAGATGCATTATCTTGCACTTATCCACATTAAATGTCAGTTGCCACAATTCTGACCATTTTTCTAGTTTACATAAATCATTTGCCATTTGACTTATCCCTCCTGGAACATCAATCCTGTTACATATCTTAGTATCATCAGCAAAAAGACATGCCTTACCATCAAGACCTTCTGCAATATCACTAATAAAAATATTAAAGAGAATGGTTCCAAGTACAGATCCCTGAGGTACCCCACTGGTGACAAGCCCATGCTTCGAATATACTCCATTGATTACAACCCTGTCACTCAGCCACTGTCTTACCCATTCAACAATATTGGAATCCAAACTTAAAGATTGCAGTTTATTGATAAGCCTTCTATGTGCAACAGTGTCAAAAGCCTTACTGAAATCTAGGTAAGCAATGTCTACTGCACCACCCCAATCTATAATTTTAGTTACCCAATCAAAAAAGATCTACAAGATTAGTTTGGCAAAATCTCCCTGAAGTAAACCCATGTTGTCTCTGATCTTGAAATCCATGTGTTTTTAGAGGTTCAGTAACCCTATCCTTTAACATGGTTTCCATCACTTTCCGCTTACTGGCCTATAGTTGCCCGATTGTAGAAAGAGACACAAACTGCCTTTTTTTCTGCTTGAATATTCCAAATGAACATCCCCAAACAACAGAGCAAGTCCATTTTTTCACTTACAGGCACCATAAAAGTCAAACTACTTAACTTCCTGTATTAAATTAGCAGGAAAGCCATTTCTTGTAACATTTCCTCAGCACCAGGAGAGAATGAACCCAAATATCTTATATAGAAGCGTGGGAGTGTAGTAGAGCTGTCATATTGTATAAGGTCTTTAAAAACCACTCAGTTTATTGTTCATTTAAATGTTTTTTAAATTGAAATGTTTTAAAAGATGCTTGAGTGCATCGTGTCCACGATTGTTCCTTTATAGAGGGACTCAAATCCCTAAAAGCACTTGAGCTTGCTTTATGTATTAAGAGTGTATCCTCTTTTTTTCATATTACAAAAAAAGTGTAGACTTCATTAGAAATTGGCACTTGTATAAATTAACCTTGTTACACCTTTCTTGGCTGTCAGACAACCAGACCTGTTATTTAATGGTTTGTTTAGCTCTATGGAACTAACCTCAAGAGTCAGCAATTGCCCAGAGCATCTGCCTAGCAAAGACTTCTCATTGAGCTGCATTGGGAAGTATGTGATTGGACAGCCACAGAAAGTCTGGGCGGGGTTAGAAGGGGATGGCTTGCAAAGGCTGCAGACAAGAGATCTGCAGCTTTTGCTAGCGGTTTTAGATAATGAAAAAAAATATATAAATAACTATTTAGTAGGTATAACTCCAATTAAAACATGTATGCCTCTAATTATGCATTTTGTTTAAAAAATGTGGGGGTATATCTAAAAAAACAGCTTGTAAAAGCTGCAGATCTCTTGTCTGCAGTCTTTGCAAGCCATCCCCTTCTTACCCAATCACAGACTTCCCAATGTAGCTCAATAAGACATCTTTGCAAAGCAGGTGGTCTGAGCAATTGCTGCCTCAAGCTTCACAGGGCTGTATGTGTTTAGTGACCTTTCTCCTCCCATTTTACAAAAAGAAGACACTCTTGTGAGTTGTCCCTTTAAATGTATGTTTTCATTGGGTGTTTTCTACTAAACATCGATTTTATTGTTTAATTTAGGCAATGTAGTGTCCCTTTAATGTTAACATTCAACTTTTGCCTACAACAGTATAAGGTTCACATTAAATCACGTAAAATCAATAGCCGTTTGCAATTCTTTATAAGCATAAACCAAATCATAAAGTGTGCTGTGCCTTTAAGAATATAATAAGAATCATATGCAATTATTTGCTGCGGGGATCCAGGCCAAAAATTTGTTAAAATTGGACAATAAAACATCAGCATTTTTACACAATTTTAATTTGACTTTTTACAGATTCTAAAAATATATAAATCCACACGAGCAGGAGTGGCAAATAGGATAGATCATTTAAATATACACTTGCACATTCTCCTACACCCAAGTGTCATATTTTATCATGTCAACAAGTTAAAAGAACGGCTTCACGTGGATAATACGCAAAAGGACAAAAAAAAAAAAAAATAGACTCTGTCCAGCAGAGCAGTCTTTTAGTTACAGTACCATTCCCTGTGCTTTATATTGTATGTAAATCAGCGCATGGCCTACAATACATAGTTTACTTTCAATTGGGGGGAGTTGAGTAAGGAGCTAAAAGAAAGGCCAAAAAGTGCAGATTTACCAACGTTGTCCAGCTCTGCTAGTTTGGCCTTAACACCGCAACTTTATTAACTCAACACAACTGTTTCAGGAGTACAACCCCAGAATTCTTGGTTATCTGAGGACAGAAGTAAAAGCAGGGAAGTATGCTGTACCAGAGAGGAATTACGTGCCCCCAGGACACAGTTAACGGTTTGAAGTTCAAACAGATACAGTTCGATAAGCTGGACAGGAGGTAAGACAGTCAGCTTCACAGATTTTTCATTCTGACAAAGGGATAACTGGTTTGAAGAGCTCAATCGCGTTAGTAGACATGCTCTACACCGTGCTTCAATGGGCATGCAGTAAGTACAGCTCAAATTACACTGGACCGTGTTTTTTTTTAGTACTGGTAATTGCAAAGTCTGTGCCTCTCGTCTTCTCCTTGACAAATTAAGAAAGATTATTTCATCTCTGAAGAAGTGTCCCGGTCAGTTCCTTGAGTTTGTATGGGTCGAGAGCCTTGGGGAACCAGATTTGAAAATTTGATTGTAGAAGCAGAACCAAGGTATCCACAATTTTGACTCCTCCACCCATTAAAGTGCTGCTCAATAGTCCGGCCAGCAGAGGAAGATAGAAACGCAACCTTCTATCATGTCTTTAAGATGAAGCGATCCCCCATCAGCTGTCTTTGGTGGCAGGCTCTTCCTTGGATTCTAAAACAAAAAGAGTGACAAAAATCCATAAGGCCAAATCATGAACAATCAAGTACCCACATCATGATCGGACATCCTCTAGCCAGCTGTTCCACCTTAACTCCAATCACCATAAGCAATCTGGCACAATAAATACTACGCAAGCCATGCCAGAGGAACAAACTCAGCTATACGATGATGTGCATTTTTATTGGTTACCTTATAAACCTCGGACCAGAAATAGGCGCTTTAGAAATCTTTTCCGCCACCTTTTTTCTCATTGTCCTCATGTTTCATTTTGAATATAACATTTATTGATTTCAACACCATTTTACATTCTAAAAATGCATATGCTTCAAGTACACAATTCAAAATAAACGACAGGCTGGTACTATCCAAAAAGGTCAAATGCAAATTTATTTAAAAATAAATAAGTAAATGAAAAACCAAATACGCTAAATGTTTCAAAATTAGATTACATTAGAAATATTTACTTAGGGTAACTGTTTTGGGTAGAATTCATGTTGAGGCATAAAACTTTGAATTATATATAGAGATTAAGGTTCAGTAACATTTATGGAAGCGTACGTAATCTTTAATTGGTGTTTACAAAATGGTCCTAATCCCAAATCCAAGCTTTGATCCCTAAAACAAATCCATCATAACTCCATACCAATCCCCATTTCAAATCTTAACATTAAACCTCAAATAAAACTCTAAGTATTATAAAAGCACAAACAATCTTAGAACTTAGCCCTACAACCAACTCCCAAAGGACTCATGACAGGCATCTGCCTTATGTGTAAACTAAGCATTTCTCCAAAGCTTCACAGATTATAATAGAGGTAGCTACTTTAAGTTATTATTTCACAGTGGCTGAAATTAAATATGTATCAGTCGTATTTATAGACTGGGTCCAGCCCATGTAGCATATACATTCTTAACAGACTAAGACTAGTCTACAACAATTTATTTACAGAGATAGATTATGTTTTAAAATACCGCAGTGCAAGGGAGCGACGTCATCCACTTCAAAATGTTTTAAAATAAAGCATAACCTCAGTTGAAGGTAACAGAACAATTTAACAAACCATCCATACATCACACCCTAAACATTTCCTCTGAATATGTGCACGCCATACATTACAGAATGAGCAATCAATCTCGGAAATATGCAAAAATAATAAAATGCAAATAAAACTATGACTGCTTGATGTATTCTTTAAATAAAGCATGGATAATGAAACTTTATTTTTTTTAATTAAGAAAAAAAATAATAATAATAAAAAAAACACCTTGAATTTGAAACTTTTGTTTAAAAAAAAAAAAAGAATTGTTATAAAATGTATTCATGGTTTTAAATGCATTTACCAATTGATTAAAGAAGAAAATAAAAAATATATTTATATTTCACAATAAAAAACAAAAGGTAGCAGAATACAGATATCCTTAATATCCACCAAAACATCCAATTTTCAGTTAGTGTTTGTACATTTTTGTTTCCAAGATCGTTGCCAGAGGTTTGTCTTTAATGGGGCATTGTTAGGATCGAGCAAAATGTAAATAATTCTACATAGCTGTGGATGTACAGAGCTATACAAGGAATAAAAAACAAAGCAAAGAGCGGATTAGCTGAGGTTTTCTAACCGTATTCCTTTGCTAATCTGCTTGTCTGTAGCTGTACAGGAACACCGAGCATGGATCTGTGCAGCAGTGTTTATAGTGTCCCACAAGGGGGGAATGGTGACCTCCGATAAGGACAGCTTCCTGTCTGCTTAATCAACAAAGAGCTTGTGGCTGGATGTGTGACAAACCTACAGTACAGGACTCCTCCCCTTCTATACAGGCAAGCACGTACACAGTCACACACATGTACACAGGTCACACGCATCGCTGGTTTACAATTGCTCTCACATGTCAGCGATACACGTATTAAAGTGGAATTGCTATATAAGAGTGGGGGAAAAAATAAATTAAGATAACGCAGTCTGTTATATAATGGGCAATGAAACATCTGTAGGTCGACCAGTCATTGTACATAAATAGTTACAATCTAGAGGAAATTATATTTGCAGAATAAACTTGTTGGAGCAAGGTATTTGATCACCATTTTTGTTTCTTATATTTTGTTTTATCCTTTTATATAAAATATATAATGCTGTAAAGTATGTTGGCGCTACATAAATAACATTCATATAAATGTTTATGCACTCATCAGCTGATCTAACAGTGTTTCAGCCACAAATGTGACTTAAATAGAGGCTAAGAACACACACACACACAAACAAACCAACCAACCAACCCCTGGGGGTCGAACATTCGCATATCATCAGCAAATGGTTGAGATTTCACCCCCCATAAAAAGTTTTTTCTTCAATGAAATTTTTACCTAGTAAACACGTGGACCGGTTATATATAAAGGTCACCCGGTAAACTAGAGAACTAATTGTAAATCAGAATGACATCACTTACCAATCAACCGTTTGAATTTCTGCTTGGCTGCTGCTCGCTCTTTGGCATCAAAGTACCAGACAGTTAAAGCATATCTAAAAAAAAATTATATATATTTTTAAAAACCACAACCACTGCCCAATACCGCATGCACATGCAGAAACACACACATGAGAGGTACCTGGTTGCATATGATGGCTGCACCTCATGGGGGTTGCGTCTGTCAGACCAGAAAAAAAGCAGCCGGTCAAAGAGGGGTTCAATGTCCGCCACATTGGGGCCACCCTCAGGAAAGATTCTCAAGATCCCACCATGGACCTGCAAGAGAAGACCATTTGTATAATGGATGAACGGATTAGAGTACATGGAACAGTTCAAGGTGGGTGACAAACAGAAGAAAGGCTAATTAAAAAGCACAGGAGCATTCTACAGTATAAGTAACCAGCAACAGGTCGATCCCACAACAGAGAATACACTAACAATTCCCATAACTATGGTGTCCATAAAAGCAATATTCCCAAATTTATACCGCCTTTATCATAGTATTCCATGATGTATATATCTTTCTAACAGATGAGATTATTTCTCATACAGTAAAGAAATTAAAGTTCAGACTAACCTTTGCGTTCCAGTCCTTGTTTAGGTAATAGATGCAGGTAATACAGCGCCCATCTCCAGTGGGGTTGTCCACATGCCGTACATACCCAGCGCCATTACCAGGGTAACATGCCACCATTGCCTGCAAAAAATAAGAAATATGTATTGCATTAGATTTGGTGGCAAATACAGCGCAGCATTCCTTCTATACGAGTCTACGAGTGGATTTAGAATTTCATAATGTCCTAATAGGGCAATCCAAGCAATGCATTTAACTACTTCATAACAAAAGCTTCACTGTACTGCGTTCAGTCCCTGTGGCATCAGCCAGGCTGCCTCATTAGGGCAACAGGTTCCTTGCCACAAACAGTATCTTCTGTTTCCCCCATTTTTATAATTAAATATTACGATGAAAACAGAATTGAGCCCGTGATCACTGTGAGTCAATTCCAGGACATGCGACAAACGTTTTTGGCTACATGAGTGTATTACAAAATAACCGTATTTATCGAATTCAGAATATTTAAACCCTTCACTACATGCGCAAGGATGCAGAATTTGAAGCTACATTATTGAGGAAAAGAAAACTAAAGGTTGTGGGGGATTTAAAGAAGAGTATATGGTAGGTCAGGAGTAACCGGCCCTGCATAAGAATATTTTATGCGTAAATTATATGTATTCCATATGGGATCTCCTGTGACCGCTTGTTGTACTGTTTCATTGTGTACTTACGTGGCATTTAGATTAAGATATATGATTAGCAGAAGGGCTCCATACATACAACCAAAAAAAGGTGAATTTGCGACTTTATGTTCACCAATAAAAGGTTTCATTTGTAGGGGCAAAGTTCTACAAGTGGGGTTTAATTGCCATAGAAAAAAATAGAATGCAAGTATTCCCCAAACTAACTTGTATCCATGACCAAAAGGAATTGAGAAACAAAGTTGTATCTTTCTTGCCTCCTCTACTACTCCAACAATTATTTTTTATTATTATTCTTCATTAAAATTAGACCATTTTTTTTTTTTTTCACATTTTGGTGCAGTCATTAAACATTACATGTGTGTGTGTTCATACAATCTGTATAATCATTACATTACTTTTCTTAGAATAATTGATTCAATGTCTTTGGTGGACGCAGTCCATGCAGGTGCCTGACCCAATTAAGGGGGTTACAGTGTTCTTCTCACCTTGGACCGCTCCTTCACATAGTAATTGCCCAGCCGGTTGCCACATAACACGACCAGGCGATCAATGACAGACAGAACCAGTCCAATGGCCTCACACCCTTCCTCTGTGCCAGCGACCCAGGTGATCTTATCCCCCCTCAGATGACTCTTGGAGACCCCCTGCAGGTTCCCCGCCAGCCGGCCATCCTTCAGTGCCCCCTCCTTGTGTAACTGGCTGACCTGCTCCAGGACCCGCTCGCCCACCTCTTCCCCCAAAACATTGTCCAGATAGCAGAAGCCTTTGGAGAGCAGGCGGGGCACGATGTGCTCCAGGGCCAGTTTTTCCAGGTCCGCAGTCGGGGTGTGCTTGAGGGGCATCACTGGGGCAGCTGCAGGCGGCATAGGCGGGTCAATGTTTCCTGCAGCGGGTAGAACGTGGGGCTCCGAATGCTCAGACTCGCAGGAAGCCGCAACATTCCATCTTTAGAATCCTGGCCGGATCAGGCAGCCAGCAGGGTGACAGGTCCAGGAATGAAAGCACTGACTGCTGGGGGAGGATTCTAGATAGCAGGAGTAATCAGAGAGGGAATGGGGTCACAGATTAGGGTAGGTATGAGGGGCTGTCCCCATATACACAGTGATTGGATCACACTGTCACTGTATATGGACTGGGGCTGCTATGCCATATATTCCCTCTCTGTACGTGCAGAATGAGGGATTTCCATTCTCTGGGCGGGGCCAGCTCTGCACATTCAAACTAGCACAGCCCCGCCCCCCATCTACTGATAACCTGTCAACTGGGAGAGTGGGCGGGGCTGCCCGGGTAGGAGGGGCTGGACATGCAGCACGTGCGTGATGGAACACACGCAGAGCGCCGCCGATTGGTCAGGGCGCGCCCGGGCGGGACAGGTAGCTAGGAGACAGCGTCCGAGGGGCGTGGCATCCGCCATTGAGGAATTCTGGCTGAGCATGTAGCACTGCTGAGTGTAGTAAACACAGGGGGGAGGGGGAGGGAGATGGTATACAGAGAGAATTCTTTATATAGAGAGAGGGGAGGGAGATGGTATACAGAGAGAATTCTTTATATAGAGAGAGGGGGGGGGGAGGGAGATGGTATACAGAGATAATTCTTTATATAGAGAGAGGGGAGGGAGATGGTATACAGAGAGAATTCTTTATATAGAGAGAGGGAGGGAGATGGTATACAGAGAGAATTCTTTATATAGAGAGAGGGGAGGGAGATGGTATACAGAGAGAATTCTTTATATAGAGAGAGGGGAGGGAGATGGTATACAGAGAGAATTCTTTATATAGAGAGAGGGGGAGATGGTATACAGAGAGAATTCTTTATATAGAGAGAGGGAGGGAGATGGTATACAGAGAGAATTCTTTATATAGAGAGAGGGAGGAGGGAGATGGTATACAGAGAGAATTCTTTATATAGAGAGAGGGGGGAGGGAGATGGTATACAGAGAGAATTCTTTATATAGAGAGAGGGAGGGGAGATGGTATACAGAGAGAATTCTTTATATAGAGAGAGGGGAGGGAGATGGTATACAGAGAGAATTCTTTATATAGAGAGAGGGGAGGGAGATGGTATACAGAGAGAATTCTTTATATAGAGAGAGGGGAGGGGGAGATGGTATACAGAGATAATTCTTTATATAGATGGTATACAGAGAGAATTCTTTATACAGAGAGAGGGGAGGGAGATGGTATACAGAGAAAATTCTTTATACAGAGAGAGGGGGGGAGATGGTATAGAGAGAGAATTCTTTATATAGAAAGAGGGGAGGGAGATGGTATACAGAGAGAATTCTTTATATAGAGAGAGGGGAGGGAGATGGTATACAGAGAGAATTCTTTATATAGAGAGAGGGAGGGGAGATGGTATACAGAGAGAATTCTTTATATAGAGAGAGGGTGGGAGATGGTATACAGAGAGAATTCTTTATATAGAGAGAGGGGAGGGGGAGATGGTATACAGAGAGAATTCTTTATATAGAGAGAGGGGAGGGAGATGGTATACAGAGAGAATTCTTTATATAGAGAGAGGGGGAGGGAGATGGTGTACAGAGAGAATTCTTTATATAGAGAGAGGGGAGAGGGAGATGGTATACAGAGAGAATTCTTTATATATAGAGAGGGAGGGGAGATGGTATACAGAGAGAATTCTTTATATAGAGAGAGGGGGGGAGATGGTATACAGAGAGAATTCTTTATATAGAGAGAGGGGGAGATGGTATACAGAGAAATTCTTTATATAGAGAGGGAGGGGGAGATGGTATACAGAGAGAATTCTTTATATAGAGAGAGGGGAGGGGGAGAGGGGGATGGCATGCAGAGATAATTATTTATATAGAGAGAGGGGAGGGGGAGGGATTGTATACAGAGAGAATTCTTTATATAGGGGGGGGAGATGGTATACAGAGTGAGATTTCTTTATATAGAGAGAGAGGAAGGGGAGAGGGATGGTATAAAGACAGAAACTTTATAGAGAGAGAGAGGAGGGGGGTGGTATTCAGGGATTATTCTTTATATAGAGAGGGGAGGTGGGGAGGAATGTTATACAGAGAGAATTCTTTATATATAGAGAGAGGAGGGAGATGGTATACAGAGAGAATTCTTTATATATAGAGAGAGAGGGGGATGGTATACAGAGTGAGATTTCTTTATAGAGAGAGAGAGAGAGCAGGTATACAGAGAGAAACTTTATAAAGCGAGCCGGTGTGTCGAGAGACACTATATATATTGAGAGGGAAAAGAGAGGAGAGACCTAATATAGGGAGAGAGGAGGAGGGAGAAGCAAGGGTTAGGGAAGGAGAGTGGAGGAATTTGGAAAAGAAAGGTCAGAGTTGAGGATATGGAGGATAAAAAGGACACACACACAGAGATAGGTGAGTGCACGGGAAGTGATAACAATATTGGATGTGAAGGGGTTACTGACAGGAGAGCAATGGCAAGAATCAGAATGGTAAATAGAGTAAGGAGGGCATGCTGCCCTATAGGTTGCTCTGACAGACAGATGGATGGATATAAAATGTAACAACCCATGAGAGCTGGAGAGTGATAACATCTGGCTGCCTGAGGATCACTGGTAATGTAGTCCATAACAGCTGGAGTGCCAATGGTGATCATTGGCATATAGCATGGTTAGGCAACGTACGACACGCCAGATGTGGACTACATCTCCCATAATGCTCTCATTGACATAATGCAGACAAAGCATAGAGGGAAATGTAGTCCCAGATGTAGTGAACATCTGGAGTGCGGGAGGTTGCCTACGCCTGGGTCATATCGTATTCAATTGTGACTCAAGGAAACGTAGAGATATTCAGAAATGAGGCGGGGGACAGCAAACAACATTAATTTAACTATAAATCTCCATTTAATGGGAAGAAGGCGATATTCCATATTTACATTTAATAAAGAGTTCTACAGGGTTTCACTAATTCCTGGATTACACGGTTTCTATAAACCACCACTTCATAAAGATCAGGGGGAAGGGAAACAGTCCATTTACATTAGAACTGTAACATGAAGCAGGGAGTTGTCACATAGAGTTCTAAGTCTTACAGTACAAGTTTGCGTTCAGCATATTCCTTTGGATAAACATTTTGATGAAGTTGTAACTTACACGAGAGGAAGGGGGTGGTGAAGAAAGTCAGCCCGACACCTAATCACAGCTAAAAATACACATGGATCGTTTAAACTCCCTCACTACAGGAAAACACGCAGCGATCCTTGCTCAGCAGCATAGAGTGAGACCAGCACTGCACGCCTCGCGCACAAAAACCATAACACGAATAATATATACTATAACAATTCCTGATTTTCTTTGGAGGTTTAAAAAGGAATTTGACATTACAGTTTATGCTTTCAAATAAAAATGACAAAATGTATTTCAACATCTATATTTCAACATCTGTCTGTATCAATTTGTAATGCATACAATTTAAAAGAACCCTTCGAGGACCATAACCACTGCAGCCTGCTGTAGTGGTTATGGTGCAAGAAGTGCGCTGGCAACCTGCTGTCGTAAATGTGTCAAACCAATTCAGAACAGTTTGACAACTTACCCGATTTTACAGTGGCTCGTAAACGCCTGTCAATCAGCGCACTCCACGATCAGTCAGGCTTCCCTCAATGAAGACATCCACTTTCTCCTGCAGAAGATGACCGAATGTGGTCCAGGCACCTGGAGGACACAAGTACATTGTCCAACCTTTATATATTAAAAAACAGAGTGACAAATGACACTGGGGGGTGGGGGGGGGGTGCCAAGGCAAACTGTAGTGGTTATGGTGCTTGAAATGTTCCGTTAATGAATTGCCACTATTCAGAGCATCTCCAGGCTTACCCCTGCTCTCTGAGGGCAGTTATCTTTAAGACATGGAGTAACTTTATCTTATCCAACAAAACCCTGCAGGTAATCGAAAGCTAATACACAGTAAGGAGTTATGAGATGTTTGTACTGACATCTCGCAAATGCACCTAGGGATGGCTTCGGCGGTTTGAATTGGGTTTCATCTTTACAGACAAAACATGCCTCCAATAAAAGGGTATTAAAACATTGCAGCCTCCACAGGATAAGCCAGGAGACTCACTAAACACATATTATCATACAGGCTCATTGTGTATCTTGTATTTCACACATATTACATGAAATGGGAACGCTGAGAGTTTTCTTTTGAGTAACACATAGTATGGCGTCTGCTCCAGATTATCCTGAGAATCTGACTTTTCCCCGCTTTGCTCTGGTTGGAATAGAAATATCAGATTAATACCCCATGGTGTCGTTTATGGAGCATTTTGTGAAATATGTCTAGGAAGCTTGCCTGCAGTGAGAGTTCTGCAAGTTTCCCTTGAGATGGACTGCACAGCCAGTCTTTGCTCAGGAAGTGAATGAAAGCTCTGTGCAGGAGGCTGTGACTGGCACATAGACCCCAGGTAAGTCGTCAAACTGTTTGACTACTTACCCTAAAAGGGTGCCAGGGCCATACTGGCACCATAACAACTACAGCAAGCTGTAGTTCTTATGGTGCTTAAAATGTCCCATTTAGGAAATCTGCGTCCAATAACCTTCACCTTTCAGGACTCCGAGACCCAGATTACCATTATCGCCCAATCCTACACATTTAACTGTGTTCTGCGCTCTCTGCAGCGAGTTGCAGAAAAGCAGTGAATCGTAATGTTCTCTACATATCCTAGAGTTTTGCTGTAAAGGAACACCATAGCTATAGGACTACAAACCTGTATTCCAAATACTATAGTACCCTAGTTGCACAGTAGTTTGCCGATCTCCAGAACTGAGTGCCCAGCTGCCACCTGCTGAGCATCCCACAACATCATCCAGATCTTGAACTGATGACCAATCCAATGCTCCTCTAGAGCATTGGAAACTGATGTGCCTGCCCGACAAGCGAATGCCTCTCATAGGAAAGCATTGAATTGAGTGCTTTCCTATGAACTGCAACCTATATGACCAAGGTTTATTCTGTCGTTGTAGAGGAAGCAGGTTTGTAAAGGAAAGGGTCACTGCACCCAGACCACATCACTGAGATAAAGTGCTCTGGATTATGTTAGGGGTCATTTAAAGAGGTTTCCAAAGCGCAAAAAGTTATAAATCTTCCATTCTTCGCTAGCACTACAGGTTTTTAGGATCTGCATCAAAAGTGAATGCCATAAATCCAAAATGTGGCAACTTAATAAAGAACTAGGAACTGCTGAAGATTTCCAAAATTATGGTATCGTATATTGTGACAGAGATGTCTGAAAGATAAGTCCTCCTGTGAGGTTTAATGAAACATGATATTTTGGGGCACTGGCGGAACTACCGCGGTCGCAGGGGTGCCCGCTGCCATGTGTTGCGGTGTAACCGCTGGGGTCGCACTGAAGGGGTCCATCGGGTGGCCCATGCTGTTAGGGCCACCCGATGGCAATGAATATCCAGGGGGCCCTAGTCAGCGCTGCAGCGCCTTAACTGGGCGCCCTGTGATGACATCAGACGCTGTGAGGAACTGACTGTCCCGGTCACGCCTCCCAGCTATCAGAGAGAGCCGCGGGGGACGAAAAAAGAGTGGAAACAATGACTCCCATCAGAGTGAGCCACCACTGGACCCCAGGGAAAGTCACCCTCCTGCACCTAAAAGGTAGGAAACAGGAGGGGGACTTAAACATTTTGCATGTGTGTGTGTGTTAGTGTATGTGTGTCTGTATGTATGTCTCTATATGTGTGTGTGTATGTATGTTTCTCTGTATGTGTGTGTGTATTTGTGTTTGTATGTATGGTGTGTGTGTGTGTGTGTATGTGTCAGTCAGTCTGTATGTACGTGTGTGTGCATGTGTGTGTATATGTGTCTGTGTGTGTGTGTGTATATGTGTCTGTCTGTACGTATGTGTCTGTATGTATGTGTGTGTGTGTCTGCATATGTATCTGTCTGCATGTGTGTGTGGGGAGGGGGTGGACATATGGGGGGAAGGATTGACCTATTGGAGGGGGGAAGGAGACGTATGGTGGGGGGGGAGTAAGAACTATGGTGGGGGGGGGGCAGGGAAATTTTCGCACCGGGGCCCCCTGGTTGGTAGTTAAGCCTCTGTTTTGGGGGTGGATATCCAGAATTTGACAGAGGTGTATTATTACGAGAGTGTGTTACACTTTACTTACAATACACACAGATGACACCTGCATTGAATTTTAGAAGAGGTCAGGGGTTATTATATGGGTAATATTGGAAAATCACGCCATTACAACAATCTTCCCCTCAACTCCCTGATGGCCTTGCTTCAGCCATACCTCCCAACTGTCCCTATTTAGAAAACACAGTCCCTCTATTGGGCCCTAATCCATTTTCCCATATTTTCTGTCATGATGCCCATCTTTTCTAGGAGCTCCATATTGCTGATGTGTCTGAGTGTATAACAGCAATAATATTCACAAGTAATGTGTCTGTAAACTGCTATAAATGTTTTCAGAAAACAGTCTGTGTAATTAAGATACATTGATCTTCTAAATAACATTTTAGTCCCCTAAATTAGCAAGTCACCTAAAATTTCTCAGAACTGCACTGCCCAATCCACACCTAAAAAATAAATAAAAGTGTCCCTCTTTGTCCACTGCAGATCTTGGGAGGTATGCATCACCAGGATTTGCATAGCAGCCTTGAATTGTTGCACGTATAAGACTCGATGGAAGATCCGTGGAGAGGGAGGTGAGGTTAATGGGATCATGCACTTTTCATACTGAGATACAACCGGTACACATTGTAAATCCAATGATACCTGTGAAGTTGAAGCTTGTTATACCTCAACTTTGGTGTTTGAAAACAGATAATCAGAGGACACAGGCTTACCAGAGAGTATGCTGGCTGTGTCTTTAAATTTAAAAAAGCAGATATATGAACGCATGAACCTGAACAGTCGCCATTTCTTTGAGCTCCTCACGGGCCTAGCAAAATCCGCCAAATATCTCCTTCCCAGCACGCCATCAAGCTCCAAAACCCCAAAATCTGCTTACAGGGCACCTAACCACATCGATCGATGCCCTTTTAGTACACCCAAAGGCAATGCAAACAGTGGCACAAATCTGGGGCCTACCACCACCCATGCCACAAGGTCTAGAGTCATTCCTTGACACCCTCATTGGAGCGCACGGCCCAAGCATACCGGAGCAATCCTGGTTGCCCCCGCTGCCCAACACATCAGCCAAGCGTCGGACAAAAAAGCCCGACAGGGACATAGGGGCTATGCTCCATAGAACCGCAGCCTTCAACGGCTGAGGCCAGCTATGCCACAGTGGCACCACCTTCGGGGTCAGAGAGCCAGGAACTGGAACCTGGACAAACACCCCAAAATGAGCCACCCCAAAGCTTTCAGCAGTTAGATAGCAGTTTGAGGACTCCTCATTAAATGTCTTTCAAGACCTAACTAGGGCAATGCTGCAGTGGCATACCTCGAATAGGTGATAAAAAAAATAACAAAGCCACCTGAACAACCTCACTGTTTCCCACAAGCGACTGACGCTCCTCAAGGTAGCTCAGGGCGCATAAGAGCGGAGAAAATAAAATGGTGCTTTTTTCCTGTCATGTAGAACATATACTCTTGCTTATACTCTTGAAATGTTATACCGGAAAAAAAAAAAAAACAAACAAAAAAAAAAACTGTATTGTCTGAAAGAAGCACTACTCAAAATAAAGAATGAAATAAATAAAAACACATATATAATTTCAGAAGACATATGATGTTTTCTTTAAAGATTTTTCATTTTTATGATAAATTGCTATTAATTTGTGTTGAAGAGCTACTTCAAGCACCAATAAGTATAGAATGATAAAATACTAGCGGTTAACCAACAATCATTCCCCCTCCAATACAGAGTACCCTCTTGGCCAATTTATTTGCCAATGTCTGACCCAGCAGATGTAAATATTGATTTCCTTCGCTTTTACGTAGCTTTATTTTTGCAATGTGCAGTCTGTATTGCCAGTCATTTCTCTTTACCTGTTCTTCAACCCCCACTACCCCCCCAAAAAATAAACATAATATTAGTAATATTATTGCTAGAATTATACTTTCCACTTACATTAAAAGGCCACCTATTGTTAATATGTTTTTTCAAAATTGGTTGACAGAGTTTATGATGATCTGAAGGCAAAAAGGACAAGGTTTATTTTAGCACCAGGCCAGACATTTCTCGATGATTACTCACTATATTCCGGCACACTAGGCACCACAGACACCAAGACCCTGATTGAAGCATTTGACAGATATTGACTGACTCCCTTTCGTTACAATTTCCAGAACTGGGGACAGATTTTTAGGCTATTTCTACCCTCACCCTCTCATGGTGCCCACAAGGCCACAGACCACAATAATAATGTGACTTAAAACAATTATAATCTCATGAAAACTGGGAGTCACAATGATGGTCAGAGGTTTACTGAGACATTCTGATAGTGATACAGTAATGGATCGTTGCCGTGGGTGATTTTAAAAAGCCTGTATGCTCTATATGACACGTCCCCATTACCAAGCTATGAATGATCACATTTCCTAATTGAGTAAGCTCGAACATTGTGGGTTTCTGTTTCTACACACTTTTCGTCTTAAGTGCCCGATATCTAGTTTTGGGGTTTTACAAAATTAGTCCATAACTGGTTTGTTTCACCCGACCACACCTTAAATTTCTTATATTTTAGAAACTGCGATTCTATCTCATGGACTACTCACATATAAAAAATATAAAAAATAAAATGTACATTTCAAACTGTTCGGACAGAACTGAGATCTTAATTTGTTGTGGTATGAGGGAGAGAACAGATCACCCGAAGTGTCTGAGTTGAGGAATGCACCAACGTGAGAAGCTGCACGAAGGCACTGCTATGACACTCTCGTCATTGAAGATACGACACCTGCCTGTCTGGATGCCAACTTTATTTATATATCTTGGCAGGCTCTACAAGAGATTGTGTGGCTATCCCATCAGCATCACTGGCCAGACAAAACAGGTCACAGCTCTCTTTCCAGGTTATGTCATGTTTAGGTCACTGTGGCGAGTCCTTGTTCTACTCCCCCCCCCCCTCAAAAGCAAGAGGTGACAGGTTACATTATGCATCCTTTTGTGGCAACAAAGTCTGTCTGAGGATTCCTTTCCTTTGGCTACTTTGTCTGTTGAGTGACAGTACTAAGGAGGTCACTGACCACTTCAACCCTGTTGTGACAAATTCTAAAGGGATTTTATGGAAAGTGATGTACAGTCATTAGACAACCTGTGATGTCTTCTGCGTGTGCCTCCTTTTATTGTCAGGCTGTCTCGCATGTTCTTTTGTAGCTGTGCTACAGGGTGCTGTCAGTGTATGGTTAAAAGGGGTGGCGTTAGTTATGTATGAAGTATGGGAGCGGTTTAAATATATCTGCTTTTCATCACGTACAGACTGAACCACATTTAGAGAAATGATCAGATGTAAGGAGGGAGCATGCGGAGGCTCAGGTGTGGCAATAAAACCACCCACCACAATAGTTAGCATACGTGATTGTACAGACTGTCAAACACTTTTTCTGAACTGCTCTCAAGGCGTTTGTGATAGATAGCAAACCACAGGCAGGAAAACAAAGGCTTACTGTGTGAGAAATAGCATTTGGAGTCCTATGGCTATATAGAAGTCTTTACATAACAGATTTTTTTTTTTTGTGCGTGTGCAATATAGATAGCGATGTTGCAACCGGTTTTACAAAAGGTGAATATTTTGCACAAGAAAAGAAAGTGGTTTATGCTGAACTGAATTACATAATTTAATAGAGTGATGGATTGCAAAAGTTAGATCAGAATAGAATTTAAAAAAATATATTCAAACTGCTATTATGGAATGAAATTTGGTTATGGCAAAAAAAAAGTTAAAAAAATGAATAAATAAATAAATCATAAAAAATATCAAATTGTGTTTGTTTGTTTTTTTGCCCATGGCAGTTTTCGTATTAATAACGTAAGCAACGTGTGTGATCTAAACAGGTTTGTAATTTGCAGTTTTGCGTTAAAGTGTCAAGGCATTTGCTTTATATTAAATAAAAGATTAAAAACATTACATCTTTTTTAGTGGGTTGTATATCTTTAGGGTTTATTATATTATATATATCCACCTCATTCTAAATGTTCTAAAAATCATTAAGAAAAAAAAAAGATAAAACGGTAACAATCCAAAACACACAGCTGAGATCATCTTAGCCTGCGTCAGATTATTCATCAAAGAAGATATCAGGATGTTCCCGTAGGCAAAACGCCTCAACTTTAACTGGATTACCTAAAGATGGCAATCAAGTATTCTCCTATATCAACCAATTTGGCAACATACAAACTGTTATTATTCTTTTTTTAAAAATAATTTGATAATGAGTATTCACTCTTGTTAACAGTCTTTTTTATCTACTTGACAAAAATAACTCCTGTTGGAAGTGTAGTGCGATTTCGGTATTATCTTCCAAATAGCAAATAAAATAATTTGTACTGATTCACCCACTTCCGTAAGAGCAAACTTTTAAATTTGCGCTTTATCATTTGGTCTAATCTGTATATTTTGGACTATTTTTCATCAGGAATAAATCGGTTATTCTAGATTATGACTTTTGTAATTTTTTATTTTTTTTCTGTTCACCCCATACTCCTGTCTCCCTTCTTTGGCTCTGAGCATGCGCATGCATTTTGAGCCTGGAGATTGGTCCAATCAAATGAGAAGTATTTGACTGTGGACCACAGAGAAGGAAGAAGAGACAACAAACTGGCCATGGAGATCAGTGAAGAGAACTTTGCTCAGTGCTGGATACCAGGTAAAAAAAATTATTACGGTTTATAAATATAAGAGGTAGGGAGGGGGTAGTTAATAATGCCTATTAGGGCATTTCAAATATTAAAAGGAAAAAAAAATAATTGGAAAGGGTTAGAGTAACCCTTTATTTATTCTCTCTCTTCTTTTTCACTATTACTCCATTTTTTTTTAAAACCACCAGTCTAATATCGCATGGGCCCCCCGTGCTGCCAAAACAGCTTTCATGCATCGAGACATGGACTCCACAAACCCTTTGAACATGTCTTGTGGTTTCTGGCACCAATACATTAGCAGCAGATCCGTTATAAGTGCTGAAAGTTGTGAGGTGGGGCCTCCATGGATCTGATTTGTTGTCCCAGCTCATCCCGCAGATGCTCAAATAGGATCGAGAGCTGGGGAATTTAGAGGCCAAGGCAGCACCTTGAACTCTTTTGCATGTTCCCCAAACCATTCCTGGACAACTTTTCTTTTAGTGTGGCAGGGTGCATTATCCAGGTGAAAGAGGGTACCTCCATCAGGTAACACTATTGCCATGAAGGCAATGGTGTATCTACCACAGTCGCAGGGGTCGCAGCTGCGACTGGGCTGGTCACTTTAGGGGGCCCGGCTGCAGCTACGAACCCTGCGACCGTGAGTCGCCGGCATCTGTTCAGGGTCGGTGCACAGCCACACTGGCCTAGGGCCATTGTTTGCTGGGTTACCGGCAGGAGGGGAGAGCTGTGCTGCTGTGTGTAGCCTGGCCAAGTGGTCTGACATGAAGTGCTCACAGAGCTCACACGTTGGGCCGGTTTAAACAGGTACACAAGGGGTGGGGGGAGAGAATGACACACATGGAGGGTCTGTGAGGGAAGGGAATGAGACACATGGAGGGAGCATATGGCACACAAGGAGAGACCTGGGGGGAGGGAATGACACACATGTAGGGACTGGAAGGGTGAGGGAATGAAACACATTGGGGGGGATGAGACACAGGTGCTAGGGAGGAATGAGACACATGGAGAGGCTTTGGAGGAGGGAATGAGACACATGGAGGGACTGGAAGGGTGAGGGAATGAGACACATTGAGGGGTGGGGGGTGGAATGAGACACAGAAGTGCTAGGGAGGAATGAGACATATGGAGAGGCTGTGGGGGAGGGAATGAGACGCATAGAGGAGCGGGGGTGAGGGATGACGTGGCCCAGAGCAATAATCGCACTGGGGTCCAGTGATTTCTAGTTACGACTCTGCATGAAGGGGTGAACGTGGTTTACAAAACTCTATAGGTAGGTGGTACATGTCAAAATAACATCCACATTAATATTAGGTTTCCCAGCCGAAGATTGCTCAGAGCATAACACTGCCTTCGCTGGCCGGCCTTCTTCCCATAGTGCATCCTGCAGCCATCTCTTCCCCATGTAAACGACGCACCCAGCCATCCACCGAATCTAAAAGAAAACGTGATTCATCAGAACAAGCAATCTTCTTCCAATGTTCCATAGTCCAATTCTGACACTCACGAATGTATTGAAGGAGCGGTGGACAGGGGTCATCATGGGCACTGTGACCAGTCTGCAGCTATGCAGCCCCATGCGCACCAAACTGCGATGAACTGTGTGTTCTGTCACCTTTCTATCATGGCCAGCTTTAAGTTTTCCAGAAATCTGAGTTACAGTAGCTCTTCTGTGTAACTGGACTAGACACCTTGTCTTTGCCCCCAATGTGCATAAATGAGCCTTGGACGCCCATGACCCTGATGCCAGTTCACCAGTTGTCCTACCTGAACTATCTACTCTTAAACAAAAAAAAGAAAAAAGAAAAACGGAAGAGATATATATAGATACACATATACACACACTATTTTTTTAGATTGTTGTATACAATTAGAGCAAAACAGCGAAGGCTCACAAAAAGAAGACAAAAACACCCCCCAAAAATACACTTTCCATCGCAGGCATGATATAAATAACAAACCCATTACACTAGAGGAAATTGGCAAATAAAAGGGTTGTTAAAAATAACACTGAGAAGGTCAGTATATACAAACAATACTTGGGACACCAAAGCAGCCAACATTTGATCTAAATAGTAAGCTTGGCAAAACATCAGAGCACATCAATATGCAACACTGTGCAGCCGAGTTATAAATAATATATGTTTATATTGTATAATAGCTGAGTGTACCAAGTAGTGATTTACATGTTGACCTTATGAATATACATATTTGTGGTCAGGGACAGCAGCTGAAAGCAGACCAACATGAATAATTATGGTATGTTGCACTAAATCAAGTTAATTGTGGATAGCCTAAACCGACATTTGGGGTTGGCATTAAGAAAAGAGGGCCCACGAGAGGATTGTAACCAGTTATAGTATTTGGTTTAGAGAATGAAGGGTGGGATTCGCCGATCAGCAAGAAGCATTGAGGCAAACTGGGGGGAGGACATTGATATGGTATAGCAAACCACGACAAAAACTGCAGATACACAATCACATACAAATATATACACATATGTGTATTATTATTATTATTATCGCCATTTATATAGCGCCAACAGATTCCGTAGCGCTTTACAATATTATGAGAGGGGGGATTTAACTATAAATAGGAAAACTTTCAGGAACGATAGGTTGAAGAGGACCCTGCTCAAACGAGCTTACAGTCTATATGTGTACACACACTCTAAATATTCGCACATGTATAGTATTTTACACCTGTAGAAACCGTTCCTACATTATATGAGAGGCAATAAAGCAAAATCACGCACCATGCAAGATTACCAGAAAATGTTTTATATTGTCTATGTATTGAACTCTTGGAATTCAGTAATTAACGAGGCTGAGTTGGTCATTTCTTATCTACACTACAGTTATAATCTTTCTGAAGAATTGCAATCCATTAAAATAATAAAGGGCACACTTAGATAAAATTAGCCCAATACTGTAAACAACATTTTAGACAGGTTATTCAGAAAGGCCTACCTTAACTTTCGAGTACCCTAAATAAAAAAAACAAAATAAATATTAAAAAATCTGGAAAAAAACACCCATTCTGTTATTATTCTCAAAAAGAATCAAAATTACAAACAAGACGTTCAAGTGAAAAGCATGAATTGCTTCTCTATAGTGATACGGTTGCTCAGACAGGCTGGATAGTTTTCTTAAATTAACGCGCTAAATGGAGCAAGCGGTGCTTTACCTATTTTTAAAACAGCGGTAACCGAGGCTTATTCGCTAAAGTAAGATTTAAAAGTGAATTTCAAATTTACGGCCAAAGTAG